GATGAGAACAACTTTTGGGAAAGCAAGGCTATGTGAAATTCAATGGAAACGTCAGCTTAACTCATATCGTTTGTGGGAAAATTCTTCTTCTACCAATCCTTCATCACCTTAAACGAAATTGAAATTTATGTGCCCAGTATTTCGGTAGGTGAAAGGGTTTAATGAGCATGCACTCCACGTTAACGGAAAATTCCATACAAATGTGTAATTGCTAAATTTATCTCAAAATATAATATCAAATTATTATTATTATCAGTGGTGTAGTAGTATTAGTACTACATTATCTCGAGTTGGGCTTCAGATTCGTGGTTCTATCAATGATCAAGCGACTGGCTACAGCGAGTCTCGTCGACCGAAAGCAATTCAACTAGCAGCAAGTACCTGTCCCAGAGCCAGCGGAAGATCTGCCTCTTTGGGCGACTCTTGTTCTTCAACCGGCCAAGAAGATGGGCATCAGTCATCACATGAGCTCTGTCTGGACTCAGCTCCAACTCGCAACTTATTACATCGCTTTTTGTACCAAGCATGACTGGGTTCAGGGGTTGAAATGAGTTGTGAAGAAACACCTTCAAAAGTCTGGCGGATGTGCGCTTTTAACAGCTCTTGCGATAGGAGAATAAGACTTAAACTAGCTTTTCATTATCATCTACATCATCAGCATCAGTACTACTCAACACTAGCTAAACCTGATACTCCTTCTACTCATTTGTTTCACTTTAACCACTTTATTAGATCGAATACAAACAACACCTCACTGAAATATTCATAAACTTTATGCTCTCATATACGACCTAGAATGAATACAGTTTTTATTCACGATACTACTTATTATAGATATTGATAAAAATCTCGCTGTTAATGGTAAACTTAAATTAGCTTCATCGAAAATCCAATCGCAAAAAAGGTGATATGGAAGCGACCTGGCTGGCTTTGACCCACTTGTGTTTGTGTAGCCTTGTCGTCGCTTGTCGCAGTAGTTTCGAATCCCGTTCTCGTAGTTGATAGGACCTAGGTTAGGTCGCATCTGCAATGCAGTTCAAAGGATAAAACCTTTTGTTTGAAAAGAATAAGTGAACTTCAATAGCATCTGATTTATAGAACATTTCCTCCATCAGCCCTTCATCAACTTTTGCGGTCTAGGATGATACTGCTCTTATATTTCCCCAATTTTCGTTTGTTCACTTATGTTAGTCTCGTACTAGAGATGTCAAAACACCTAAAATCAGTCTGGGCTTCGAACAGTACACGATTCAAACCTTGCCTATTGAAGAGAAGTGGATATAGATTGTGCTCCTGAGTTCCCATGATCGTCAATTTTGGCCGTCGCGAGGAGTGAAAAAGTCTTTTTTTTGGAACAAGATACTTTTGAGACAAACAACTTAGTCACTAGAGTCTAACCGCGGACTTGGTACATTCCCAGAAGTCTCGCCGGCATCGTAGTCAGCCTCGTCAGTGAGTCTTGCAATTCATAGCACCAACTTCGACTACAACTCGTCAAAGATAAGTGAAGTCAATCGCTTGACCAACTGTCTTTAGAAATGGTTGTGCTATCATTCCTCATTCTGACTTGTATATTTGGCAAGTTGTAGTTCGATTTTGAGAATGGCAAGACTCATTCACGATGCCGGCGAAATGTTTGGGAATATATTAAGTCCACGGCCCGAATATGAAGATTATCATGCATACATGGACTCCTGACAAGGTGTGATTCACTTGGTATTCCTGACAATATGACCAAGTTGCGAAAATGAGGTTCAACAACTTTTTACACAT